AAAAAAAAATTTCTTTCACTAATATCATCACAGTTAGTCATGGAGAAAAAAATCAGAGCAAGGAAAGAGAAATATTGAATCCAATGACTGGAGAGAAATACTAGAGCCATCAAGTAAACTTTTTTCCCAAGACTATTTTTACTCTTTGACTCATAAATCATGACCTGTTTGTGGTTTGTATACATTTGTTCTCTATGTCATTCATTCACTCAAATACTTGTTAAGCATTTATTATATGCCAGTCATTAGTCATATATGTGGTCTTAGAATTACTCTTGCTTAGATCTGTGCAATGTACTTCAACTGTATGGAAAATGTTGTAGTTGTTGTACGTCATTAAGTTGAACGTAACTCATAGCTGACCCTCCAGCAGATTTTCAGAGACAGTTGACTGCATAGAAGAAGCTTGTCCATCCTTCTGCAGAGCAACAAGTGGATAAAAACCATGTCCATTTGGAACTGCAGTGCAGTTTCTTAACTTTCATACCCTTAAGCCCCCAGAGTTGCCTGTGCTGGAAATATATGCTCTTAAATCTTCTTGATGAAATGGCTTAACATTGACTGAGATCATTCATGAAAGATAAGAAAAGGTCTTCACTCTGGACCATCAGGTGGATACTATGCCTACTTCCTTTCTGCATTCTGCAGCAAACTCGTGGAAGACATTACTAACTCACCAGAGGACTCTTTCTTATCCAAACTGGATGCCAGAGAGGAACCAGAGTGTACTCAAGAACACAACCACGAGTTGATGGAGGTAGAAAGAGAAAAGAAACATAACTGACTTCTCTGATGGAATCATCTAAGGCTATGGTGAAATAAAACCCATGCTTTCTAAAAAAAAAAAAAAAAAAGAAAAGAATTTATTGACTATTTTGAGGTTTTCTATTCCAAAATTATTTTGTATTTTTGGAAAAATAATTCATCTTAGTATGTTTCTACTATTTATTTACTAATTTATGCAGCCTCTTCCTCTCATCCTGGTAGTGACCCAAGAATGATTCTGTCTGTTGGTAAATATTCACTTACTTCTTATAATAGTGGTCTCATACAGTATTTGTCCTTTTATGACTTACCTCACTCTGCATGATGCCCTCTAGATTAATCCATAGTATGCAGTGTTCCTTGAAATTTCTATTCTTGCATACTGCCATTGTGACTATGCACCATAATTTGCTTATCCATTCATCTGTTAATGGACACACACTCATATTGTTAAGATGAACACAGAGGTGCATATATCTGTTTATGTCTTTCATTCCCCTATTTCAAAACCTCCTACACAACTACAATAATCAAAACAGCATGAGGCTGGTAGAATGACTGATACATATTGTTGTTGTGTGTCATCAAGTCAAAAACAATTCATAGTTGACCGTTTGGAAGATTTTCAGAAGCAATAAATCATAAGGGAGGAGACTTCCCATACTTCTGTCATGGAGCATCTGGTGGATTTGAACAGCATGCCTTTGGGATTATAGCACACCTTCTTAACCTCTAGGCCACCAGAGTTTCCTGACAGATACATAGGTCAATGGAATAGAATTGAGAACCCAGAAGTAAATCCATCCTTTTATGGACAGCTGATCTTTGGTTAGCAACACAAGAAGCTACAACTATACACTTGTGCTCCTTTGGAAAGCTGATTTTTTACAAAGAGATAAAATTTATTAGATGGAGAAATGATAGCTTCTTTAATAATTGGGGCTGTCAAAACTGGATATCTATTTACAGAAAACTGAAATACGATCAATACCTAACATCATATATAAAAAACTAACTTAAGTGTATAAGGAGCCTAGGAGTAAAACCAGAAACTATAAAGATCATCAAAGTAAAAATGAGGACAAACCTAGAAGCTCTAATCTATGGCATGATGAGATAGATTGTCAAATATAGCTGAAAATGCATCATCAACAGAGGATCTTCTAAAGAGTAAATATATGCCTCAAAAGATTTCTCCAAAAGAGTTTTAAAGAAACATTTATTGCCACAAATGGTGGTCAGAGAAAACTGGGAATAAGACACTAACAATGAAAGTTAGAAAAGAAAATCCCTGGCATTTCAGCCCTCTGTGCTCATGTGTTGAAGTTGAGAAATTTCATTTTCCTGTTTCTGGATTGAGCTTAAAGAGTCCTTGTGGTGTAGTGTGTTAGGTGTGTTAGGCTATTAACTGAAAGGTCAGTGGTTTTAATCCATCAACTATTTTTTAGGAAAAAGATGGTCAGTCTCCTTCTGTAAAGTTTTATAGCCTCAGAAATCAGTGGACTGGCACTATGAGTATTTACAAGGCTCAGAAATCAGTGGTCGGCACTGCATGGCCATTATTTTAGGCTAAATCATTTACTGTGGTAATCACTCTGTCACTTATCATTGATTTTATTTCACTTCTTCACTTTTACCAATTCCAATAGCAGTTTCTCCATTAAAGAAGGAAAATCTCTCTTTAAAGAGAGATTACAAATCCAAACTGTATTAATTACTACATGTAGAAGAAGAAGTTGAAATCTGGTGGCCTAGTGCATAGAATCAACTTTTCATTAACTTTTTAAATCACTGGGTGGTGCAAATGGTGAATGCACTTGGCTGCTAGTCAAAAGGCTGGAGGTTTGAGTCTATCCAGAGGTGTCTCAAACTTTCTCACAGTCTATTTCCAAAAGGCAATGACAAAAAAAAAATCATAAGGAGTCCTGGTTTCTACTCTGAAGTGGAGAAGTTTGCCATCAGTTGGAGCCAACTCAAAGAGTGCTGGCTTTATAACTTGTTGGGACAAGTAGCCAAACCATTTTATTCATCAAATTACTGCTTCAGATTTTTTTTAAATTAGGAAGCTTAAGCGTTGGATTGCAGTTCAGACACTTTACTTGAACAAAAGTAAGATTAGAGACCAGGGATCAATGTTAGCCTTTCCTCTACACGTCGGTCTTGGGTAACCACCTATTTGCATATACTAAAAACATGTACTGAGAGCACAACCTCAGTCTCTTCTCCATCCATCATGGTGTTGCCAATTAGCACAGTGGTGAGAATCTTTGTCTTCTTAATGTTGAGTTTCAATCCATATGAAGACTTCAGTCCTTGACCATGCGCAGCAAGCACTTCAGGTCATCCTAAGTTTCGGCAAACAAGGTTGTGTCATTTGCATAACGCAGGTTGTTGATGAATCTTCCTCCAATCCTGATGCTCATAAAGTCTAGCCTCCTGAAAGATCTGTTCCACATACAGATTGAAAAAGTATGGAGACAGGACACATCTCTGATGCACTCTCTTCCTAATTTTGAACCATGCCGTATTTTCTTGCTCTGCTCTGATGACTGCCTCAGAATACAGCATACAAATGGAATACAGTGAAAAGACCATTGTTGATGCATATTTTGACTTATTTTAAATCCTGCAACATCTCTTCATTCTATTCAAATAGAATACCTCTTGATATATATGTATGACCACAACTAAGAATTGTGCCTTTCCCATGCTGTGTAATGTTACGCATATGTGTTATGATTCATATGGTCCAATGCCTTTACATAGTCAGTAAAACATCCGTTAACATCTCTCTAACAATCTCTGCTTTTAGCCAAGACCTGTCTTTCATCAGCAATGATATCACTCATTCCAAGTCCTCTTCTAAATTAATATAGTTACTTATTGATTGTTACATTTCTTTTTCAGCAATTTTTTAGTATTTAGGACTTCAGCAATTAGAACTTAAAAGGCAGAAAGAGAACAGGTCTTCCCCTCAAGCTTTCACTGCATGGTTCAAAATTGGGAAAGTTGTACACCAGGGATGTGTCCTATCTCCATACCTTTTCAACCTGTATGCAGAGCAGATTATCTGGGAGGCTGGGCTCTATAAGAAGTGTGGTGTCAGGATTAGTGGAAGATCTATTCACAATCTGCATTATGCAGAAGACACAACCCTGCTTGCTGAAACTGAGCAGGACCTGAAATGCTTGCTGCAGAGGGCAAAGGACTGCAGCCTTCAGTATGGATTGAAGCTCAATGTCAAGAAGACAAAGATTCTCACCACTGGACCAGTTGGTAGCATCAGGATGGATGGTGAAGAGATTGAGATTGTTAACTTTAGTCTTCTTGGCTCCACAGTCAACACTCTTGGCACCAGTAGCCAGGAAATCAAAAAACGTATTGCGATAGGAAAGTCTGCTGTTAGGGACCTCTCCAGGGTACTCAAGAGCAATGGTGTCTCTCTGGAGACTAAGGTGCACCTGATACAGTCCATGGTCTTTGCAATCACTTGTTATGCATCAGAGAGTTGGACAATGAGGAGGGAGGATAGAAGGAGAATTGATGCCTTTAAGCTGTGGTGCTGGCGAAGAGTAACAAACAGATTCATCCTGAAGAGGGTTAAACTAGGCTGCTCCTTGGAAGCAAGGATTCTGAGGCTTCGTCTGACATACTTTGGACATGTTGTAAAGAGGGAGAGGTCCCTGGAGAGGGACATCATGCTTGGGAGGGTGGAGGGACAGCGCAGGAGGGGAAGACCCTCTATGAGGTGGATTGATTCAGTGACTGGGGTAATCGGGATGGGTGTGTCAGAGGCAGTGAGATTGGCACAGGACAGAGCAGAGTTTAGGGCTGTTGTACATAGGGTCGCTATGAGTCGCAAGCGACTCGACAGCACATAACAACAACAACAACCACCCTTCCAAATTAAAAAAATATAAATGTCTGTTTGTCAAAGCCGTCCATCAGTGACATCTCTGTTACAGCAGCACTTGATAACTTGGTAAGGTAGGGGTTTATGGAACACCTAAAGTTGTATCTGGAAGGTCAAAGGCGAGGGAACCTAAGGTGTGGGAATAAGCTTGCATCTGTCATCCTGAAGGAGTTGATAAAAACCCTAATCTTCAGGCAGCAGGTGGGAAATGAGGATATTGTGGCAGGCTGTGTGCCCTTTAACCAGTGTTACTCAAACCTGGCTCAGGTGGCAAGGGCATGAGGAAATGAAAACTTGGGGAATTTTATTTACATTGAGTTTCTATTATCTTTTTAGTCTTTCACTCACACTTAATCATTGACTTAATCCCAAACCCAAACTAGACTTCTCTTAAATATTCACTTTACCAATGCCATTCTACAAACTGCAGCCATACAGAATGCAGGGAAGGACTGGTGGTCCATAGCAGCCCCAGGATGAGCACCTGCAGTCCTGAAGTGCGTTGGAAGAAGGCATCTTGGTGGGCAAAACCATCTTGTCCACTCCCGGGGCCTCCAGGGTCAGACAGTTGTTCTCATAGGTGATTGAGACAAGCACAAGGCGAGGCTCTTGACGGGCAGTCACCATATGTCCATCTTCTTTAATTACCAGCCAAAACCTACCAAGAAAAACAAGGCTGCACTCAGTAAACACTCCTCCATCTTTTCCATAGCTTCCCTCTACTTTCTATTTTATCAGAACCCTCAACACTTCCCAACTCACTAGACCATCCAAGTCTAGCCAAATTCTTTGAGTTAAATAGTTACGTCCCCAAAAGAGGTTTGTTTGGTAAAAACAATCCTGGAGGAGAAGATCTGGTTAATGTTTTAAAATGTCCAATTACGAAAACTCAGAAGAGGCTGGTTTAGGGACCTTCCCCCACTGCTTAAACAACCATGTTACTGATTTTTAGCTCTACTTTGGTCAGAATTCTCCCCTCACCCAACCCCAGTCTGTTTAAATACCTCTGTGTGGCCCTGGGAGAAGCAGAATGTGTTAGGTCTTCTTATAGAAGAACAAGATAAGATTGATCCAGGCGGAATTGAATCCAAAGCAAAGGTCTTTTGTAATTATCCTTGATTCTACTGGGGTCCACCTCAGCCTCTACCATTTTAACTTGTGGATCAAGAAACTTTCTAATCAGTCTTTCCTTTTCCTGCTCACTGTTTGAGTTAAGCTCTGTCCCTCTAAATGTTTTGTCCAAGTTCTAACCCCGAGTACCTGAGAATGTAACCTTATTTGGAAATAGGTTTCTACAGACATAGTCAAATTAAGATAAAGTCATATCACAGTAGGGCCCACCCTAATCCAAGGTGACTGGTATGTTATCATTATTATAGTTTACTTATAAAGTTCAGATGCATTGTGCTTCACATTATTCTTCATTCATTATTGTGTTTCATACAATCATTCTCATGCATTGTGTTTTATAAAATTATTAATCACCATTGGACCTTGGCAATCATTACCCTGTCTTTTCACCTGAACCCTTCCCATTTCTCCCTACCCCCACCCCGCAACCCATCAAACTGTGCAACCCTCTGGTTTCGACCCTACCCACAGAGGGAGAGAAAGCACACAGACATGGACAGAGAAGAAAGTCACAGTGAGGATGGAGACAGAGATGAAAGTGACTATAGGCACAAGTCACGAAACATGTGGGGCTACCAGAAGCCAGGAGAGGAAAGAGGGGCTTTTCCCTCTGACTCTTCTAATGGGAATGGCTATATCGACACTTGATTTGGGACCTTTGGTGTCTAAAACTGTGAGTGAATAAATGTTTTGTTTTAAGCTACATCATTACCAATATGGGATTCGGCACTAGGAAAGCATAGAAAACTGAGTGGTTTAAAAGCAACAGAAATTTATTCCATCACACTTTGGGGGCCAGAAGTCCAACATCACAGTGTAAGCAGGGCTGTGCACCCTCTGAAGGCCCTCGGGAAACCATTTCTTTTCTCTCGAAGCTTCTCATAGGCCCAAGTATCCCTTGGCTGTGGCAAGATAATTTTAACATTTGCCCCAGCAAACAAACTGGGTCCCTGTGAGGGAAAAAAACCATTAATCTACTTGACTATAAACCTAAAGACTTCAAGTTCATCCAGAAGCCTCACAGAAGAAAGACCTAGTAGTGTGTTTCCAGAAACCCTTGGCAACTCTTATAGAACACAGCTCTTAGGTGACACACAGGACTGACCCGACAGCAACTAGCAGTGAGGTAGGGAGAAAACGAATTAACATGCCTTCTGACTTGAGCACAAGCTTCCTGAGAATCACATGTTATACTCAACTGCATTTACCTCCTTTAGCCCACTGTTCTGGGCTCAGACTTTTCAGTTTTGCACAGGACAAGACAAGAGAGGACATTGCAGCTGCACCAGCCAGGCAGGCATGCAGAGATAGTGATTTCTCCACAGCATAGATCTGGGTTACAACTCTATATATTATTTGGATAGCAACAAAGAAAAAGTGCTCCACTTTTACAGAAAATAAGATTCCAGATGACAATTTTAGCAAGAATATGAACTTTGCAGACAAGGAGACGAAGAACCCTATGGACGCCAAGGAGTGAGAGCCTCTAGGGCCTTGTGAATGGAAGCAGAATGAGCAAGAGCAGCCTCTCCACCACTGAAAGAGTCACAGGAAGCTCTGGTGTCTTAGTGGTAAGAAAAGGTGCTGCCAATCCAAAGGTATGTGGTTCAAAATCACCAGCTGCTTCATAGGAGAAGGATGAGCAATCTCCTCCTGTGTGATTTACTGTCTCTGAAAACCTGCTGAAGAGTCAACTATGTGTTGGTTCCAACTCAGTGGTACACAACAGCAATAAAAGAATCATATTGTAAAGAGTGCCTGCCTAGAAACATGTGTTCTTTTAAAGTGCACAATGAGAACAAATTTCCAATAGGAACTCAAAAGAGAAAACAGAAAACTTAAGGTGGCAGTGAGTTTATTTTAATATGGGAGGGAAAACACAGAAAAGGAAGGTGAGAATGGCTGTACAAGCTGAAGACTTGAATCAGTATCACTGAAATGCATATGCACAGACTATGAGTTTGGTGCATGTTCTGCTGTGCATACCTCAACAACCACAATAATAAAATAAAATCATTTTTTAAAATAAGAAAAACAGGTAAATGTCTAAAGAACAATGTTTACTAACAGTTAGCAGGGGCAGAAGAGAGGAGGGACAAGGGGAATTAGCGTTTGGGAAGCAGTGTATTTGTGCTTTCCTTGGTGGGAAAAGTGGCATTAATTAAATGTGATGGCTATGCAACAGATTAATGCAATCCCTAAGCCATACATCTGAAATGTGCTGAATTGGCAATTGAAGAAGGAAGAGGAGGAGGAGGAGGAGGAGACAAAGAAAAAGAAGACAGAGACAAAGAGGATGATGATGAGGAAGAGGAAGGTGAAGAAAAAGACGAAGAAGAGGGAGAGGCAGAATAAGAAGACGAATACAGAGAAGACAAAGACCAAGAAGAAGATGAAGACGAAGAAGAAGAAAATGACGAAGAAGACAACTAAGATGAATGAGAAGACAAAGAAGAAGTAGTTGAGGCTGCTTGTGTACAACCTAATCAAACACTTTATAGGATTTTTTTCCATCAGTTTTGGGGGTTTAGGGTCTTAGTTTCATGGAATGTTCCAGACAATTAGCCCAATATTGTTTTTCATGATTGTTCTATTTGCTAGTTTTTCTGTATAGTGACTTAGAAATTAGTGAAACTACTTGGGCAAGGTACCCCAATGGGTCTTTATTCACCTGAAACAACAAAAGAAGAAAAAGAAGCAGAAATTGAAGGAAGGATTTTAATTTGTATCTGGTTGTCGCTATGAACAACTGCTTATAAGACAAGAAGAACTAGATGGTGTTCAGCTTCCATTACTGAATTCACAGGAAGAATTCTGTAGAAGAATCCTGATCTAAAGTGGGGGAATGTGTGACAGAATTTCAAATTCTAAAGACAATCCAGATTTCCTAGGATCATTAAGGCTGGAACTACTTGTCTAAAGAGGAGAAAACAGCATATAGGAGCACAGAGCCTCATCTCTCTGAAAGGTCTAGAAAGAGTGAGAATAGCACAGCTTCTCATAACCCCAGAGCACAAAACAGACTAAGAGACTGTAGTCCAGCCCCATGGTGCCTCTAGAGCTACGTCAACACAAGAGATTTGTTTAATCATTGTAGACTCACAGTTGTGGTGCTGAGAATGGGATTTATTAGGAAAGTAAGTTGAAGAGTGGGGAAGGCAAAGAATACCACCCAAAACACATGCCCTTTTTAGCCCAAGATGCAACGCACAATTCCTTAATTAGTCCAGGTTCTGGTTTCAGTTCAGCAGTCAAACCCAAATCATCCAAGAAGGTTTGCCTTAGAGTACTTTTAAGTCAGCTTCTCCTTCAAGCATCTAGCAAGAACAGAAAAAATCTTTTAACTCTGGCCAGCATAAATGTAAGAAGCCTCAGGTCACAACTGCCACAGTTCTCCATAGCAATGCCTCAATCTCTCCATCATCAGGGTCTTGCTCTAGTCTCCCTCAAGTCTTGCCATCACACATCTTTCTCACCTTAAGGCTTGCTGTCCAGTGTGGGTAGCACTCTTTCTCTTATCCCAGTCCCACAGCTGTAGATGATTTGCAAGGCCATGTTGATTTGCAAGACCATGTATCTGCAGTTACTGTACCTGGAGATCAGAAGGGACTAACTGTAATGGCTAAAAGAAGCCAAAGTTTAGGCTAACACCACACTATTTCTCTGAGATTATCCTTAAACTTTAATCTTAAACTATTTCCTGAAGTCTTCTTTGAGATGCTCCCCACTCCTCAAAAGAAGGACTCATTTAAATTAGTAAAGTACATCTGCTTTCAGCATTGTACTCTTTTGAAGAACTATTTATGTGAGGAGATAAAATAGACAACTGCACCTGGAAAGGTTAGATAGGCCACATGGGGAGCAATGGGTATAAGAAAATGTAAGTGGGATCATTTGGGAAGGAAGATGATGATAGCTCAGTTTGAAGAACTGAATCAATGCCACTGAACTATATTGTGCAAGTTTTGAAACAGCATATCTTTGTTTACCCTTTCACAAAATAATAATAGCAACAATGAAGCAAACAGGTGAACATATCAAGGCATCAAAAATTGATGATTTTTTTTAAAAAAGAAACTCTCTAAATACTGTAAAATAAAATGACTATCAATGTAACTGGGTGTATCTCCACTGGTCATATAACCAAACACAATAATTAAACAAGGACTTAAAGAAAGGACAATTTCTTCTGTAATAAGGGGCAGTCCCTTCCTGCAGCTGGAAGATATTTTAATATAAGACTGAAGACAGTGGAACCATCTGAGGCAACTCACAAGGGACATCTAACAGAGGAACACAGGGAGCTCCCTTGATGCCCTTCCCTGGCATTGGTAGGTATTTCCTCACCTGGAATACCACCCCCACCCCGAATCAGGTAGATAATGGCTGATGCCTGCACCCTGCTAACGGGTACAATGTTAGTGTGAGGTGTGGCAGTGGCAGGAACATGTAAAGACATTTTAGCTTCCTTCCTGTGAGCTGGCAATACTCAACACTTCTGAGAAGGACACCTTTTGTGTGTATTTCTCACCTCTGTGAGCCAAGGATCCCTTACCTATTTTCTTACTTATCTTTTATTTCTTGAGTCTGAGTTTGTTCCTTATTTCAAGCCCCATCCTTGAGTTGATCCTGATCTGGTTAACCCCATGAAAGCCTACACCCTAAGTTCCAATATTTTCCATCTCCATACCAGACACCCTCTGAGATCTGCTCGTGACCAGGCCCCTGTCTAAACAGAAGCAACAACCTGATCACACATTATTTTAACAATCAGCCCTTTGCTGGGTTGAGATTCTACATCTCTTGAACATCCTCCAATACTAGCCTTTATTCCGGGAATCCCTGCCCTTCTCTCCAGTCTAAGAGTTAACTTCTGGGAGTCACCAGTGAGAAGACTGGGTACTAATCACTCTCACTGAAAGAGAAGTGACTGCTTAAAGAGTTAAACACTACAGCTGAATAAAAGTAAATGACACAAAGCAAAAAGGTGCCTTCTGTGATCTCATTATTGTTATGTGCCATAGAGTCAGAACTGACTCACAGCTGATTTTCCACCAGGTTTTCAGAGATAGTAAATCCCATAGGAGGAGATTTCCCAGTTTTCCCCATGGAGCAACTGGTGGATTTGAACTACATGCCTTTGGGGTGAAAGTACAACTCTTTTACCACTAGCCTACCACACTCCTTAAGAATGCCTGAGAGGTTGGGTAAATGATCTTTTTCGCCTCCTGTACACAATGAATTAATAATTAGCTTTGTTCTGCTGATCTGAGGAAAAAGTAAATCTGGGGACTAGGTTTTTGGTTTGTGTTTTGTTTTTTTTTTTTCTTCTCAAAAGGGGCTTATTAAAACCTAATCTGTATTATTGTCACGACAGGAGTCCAGAAAGAAGGCTGCATAGTGGAGTGGACCTGGAGAAAGGGATTGTAAAACAGTGGGGGAACTTTTACTTTTCGAAGAGTGTACTGGGGGAGAGGGGTGCACCAGCAGGGAGAAAAGTGCAACAATGAATGAATGAAAATCCAAAGTCTCTGTAAATTTTCATTAAAATTAACTAAAAAATGATAAACAAATAAACAAAAAAAACCCAAAACCCTAATCTGTAGTGTAGTCCACAGGGAGTTGTGCTTTTCACTCATAGGCTACTTCTCTCTGGTGGTTCGAATCCACCAATGACTTCTTGGGGAATATATGGGCAATCTCCTCCCTCAGAAACCTAGAGTTAGCTATGAGTTGGTCTGACTCAATGATAGTGAATTTGAAAGTGGTTTGTTATTTTTTCCTTTTGTTTTTTTAGGTTGAGCCTGTAATATGGATTGTTGCTATGTGCCATCAAGTCAAAATGGACCCATAGCTGGCCATCCAGAAGCAGTAAATTGAACAGAAGGAGACTGACAGTCCTTCTCCCATGGAGCAGCTGGTGGAACCATGTGCCTTCAGGATTGCAGCACAGTTTCCTAGCACCCAAATTTTTGGTGGTCACCAAAGCTCCCTGTAATATTGATACTACACACTAACACCTTGATTTTTTACACAGAAAATATGAGTACGTGATGATGTGAGGCTGAGTGCAGGATCCCAGAGCTCAAGATTAGAAACACCAGCAGGGCCCTGAACAACAGATAGCAATGAGAAAGAGCTCCAGGTGGCGGGAAAGTCTCTTTTCTCAAATTACATATGGCCTGGGAATCAGGAAAAACTAAGCACTGAACTGCATCATAGGGAAGCTAAAGACACAGGGATTGTCCAGTAGACAACAAATTTAGGGAAGCCAATTCCCAAAACATAACCATCTTTGTAAAGGAAATAAAGTGCTGGCATTACAAAAACTTTCTAGAGATTTAGGAATTAGACAGCCACAGAAAGGTTGTTAAAGACACACTGCCTTGACAAGGTCAGGAAGGGTAGCTCAATGCTCCCAGGACCTGAACAGAGGCAGTCAAATATGTGGAGCAGCCTTTAAACATTGCCAAGCACAAGGTGTCCCAGCCAAGTATTCACAAACATGTTAACAAAACACCTCCAGAAAGCTGAGGTCCAAAACACTGATAGGAAGGTCCTAGTTTCTTAAGAGTTCCAAAACCAGATTCAGATTGGAGCTAAAGAAAAGAAGCTTTGGTCAATTCTGAAAAAAGGCAATCCCATGTTTGTAACCCAGAAAAACCTCATAGAGTGCCATTCAACTCACACATTTGGGGTCACCATGAGTTAGAATCATCACAGTGGCAACAGGTTGGGTTTTTACCCATTTCCATTTGAAAGAACAAGAGTCATTTTGGAAGAGCTCCTGAAAGTAAAATTTACTTCTGAATTTTAAGTTTACCTTTGAATTGCAATGACCCTTTGATGAATCAAGTCTAAATTTGTTAGATATTATTAGAGATCATTATGTTCAAATTGTTTCTTTTGGAAGTGGGGGGAAAGGAGACTCTTAGAGATTAAGTGACCTTGCCCAACATCTCTTAACCTTCAGTACTGGCCGGACTCTCAGAAAAATCACAAATACTGTACCCACAATAGAACTGAGTTGAAATCCCTCCAGCACATAGATGAGTGATATTAGATGAGATAATCTATATTCCATTATTCTTTCTGGTACTGTTCTCCTGCAAAATGAGATCATATCTAGCCCACTAGATTTTTATAAATCTTAATTAAGATAATCTTTGTGAAAGTAGATAAAGATGGTGAAATCTTGTCTCACATACTTTGGGCCAGCCCTTGGAAACAGACATCATGGTGGGAAAGGCAAAGTAAAAGTGGTCCTTCTTATTATGGTTATCACAAGAGTCCACAATTAAGGTTGCATAGTGGAATGTACTTGGGGCGGTGGGAGGGGTGTGGAGGGGATTGTGTAACAAGGAAGGAGTGTTTCTTTTACTTTTGAAAGAGAGGAGCGAAGTGGGAGGGGGGAGAGGGCTGGGCGGGAGATAAGTGCAGCAATGAATGAATGGAAATCCAAAATCTCTGTAAATGCTCATTAAAATTATTTTTTTTAAAAAGTGGCTCTTCTCATGCATGCAGTCACAGCAAAGCAGTACCAACAAGCAGTGCAGCAGCACTTAGTAAAATGATCAGAGGAATCACCAATAAAGACTGGAAATATGTCTTTTCAAAGTCTCATGCTTTCAGTTTAGGAGAGAAGTAGCACAAGTCTGGTTTTCCCTGGAAATACATCACGAGCAAAGGCTTCACCTCTGCAAGTGCATTATAAGCATTAGTTTTAGGAGGTATCCCATCCTGCAATGCCTGAAGTCTTTCCAACATCAAGGCTTTCCAAATCCTTCACACTTTAATAAGCTCTAAACAATGTGTTCTTCTTCTTAATGATCCCAGGGCGTAAAAAATCCTTTAATTGCAGCATCAGAATCACCTGGGGAACTTGAATCACCATTCCCAGGTCAGCTCTATTCTTGGTGATTCTGACTCAACAGGTCTGGGATGTGAACCTCATGAACGTATACATTAATCTCCCCAGAGCAAGAAATCTGATGGAGATAATGGAAAATCTGTAAGTTACATGGTCTGCATTCACAGTACTTCCCTAAAACAAGCAGAGATTTGTTCCCCAGTTCACTGAGGAGCTGACATTTCTTTAAGAGGATGACCATCTGCAAAGAACAGGGCTTACATGGAACCTGGAGTGCACTCAGGGCAGCAGATGGCCTCTGATAGAAGGTTGATTTCTTGAGTAAGAAACTTAGTAAATCTTCCTCTCATTAGACACAAAATAACAAACTTAGTAAATCTTCCTCTCAATAGACACAAAATAACAACTAAAAGCTAATTTCCAGAGAGAAAATAAGGCATCTTAAAAAAGATCCTGTTCTTGCCCAAAAACCTCTTTCTAGAGTTTATGCAGCTACTTAATTCTGAATCAGGAAGAGTTAAATAATAAGGTGCTTATTCTTTTCTGAGGATTATGAACAAACCTTCTGCATGCCAGGCCCTATGAGAATTGTCCCAAAGTTCTTGGCTTAAGGACCACTCTGCCTCTGGCAGAGGTATCACCCACCCTCCCAGAGCAGCTGTTTCCCATTTATGCCCCATCCTCACCCTAGCAGAAGACTTATTTCCTGGGACAGGAATTGGGAGACCGTGAAGCCTTAGGAAGGCCAAAGTCCACTCCTTGAACCACGTGCTCTTTCAGCATCTAGCCACTAGTTCATGTTGGTGGTGTAATTTTGCCCTCTGCTAAAACCGAATCAGAAACTTTGGAGCTCACAGATGTCTCGGAGACAGCAAGTTCAGGCCCCTTTCTTTTAGAAGAGGGTCCTCTCATTCAGATAAAGGCAGGAGTTTGCCCCAGGGTAGAGGATCTGTTGGTTCAAATTCACCAGTTACTCCACAGTAGAAATATTGACAATCTCCTTCTCTGAGGTTTAAGGCGACTGAAAACATGCTAAAAGGGTGAGCTATGGGTCCAGAGAAGAACACTGCACTATGTCTGGAGATTATTCAAGTGTTAAGGATTTAGGAAAGCCTTGGTGCTAGAAAGTCTTCAGACACCTCGAAAAACTTGGTGGAGCAGATATGAGCTTGAGTTTCCCAGCTAAAGGCAGTCGTTTCAAAGGTCATCCCAGGTAACCTACCATGCCCTAAACTTAGCTTTTCTCCCGCAAGACAGCCCCACCACCGCCATCCGCCTGCCGCCCCCATAAACTGGACAAGAGGTCTACCAGTCCAGAGTCCTGCCTTACCTGTCCCTAAGGTGGCCGCTGCGCAGCCCCATGGGAGTGCACTCGGCCTCGCTCACTGTCACCCCCTTGCAGGACTTGACCGGGTAGATGCACAGCTGCGACACGGTGCCCACCTGCCGCAGCTGCTTGCGCCTCCGGGGTCGTGCGCGGCGCCAGGCCAAGGTGCCCAGCGCCACCGCGGCCAGTCCCAGCGCAGCGACCCCGAGCCACCGGGGCCTGGGCTGCGCGGAGAGGCGCTGCGCGGGGAGGCCGAGGAGGACCAGGGCAGACGAGCCTGCGGCGCCCATGGCCGAGCGCTGCGGACGCAGGCCGTACTCAGACAAAGCAGCTCCTGGGGGCTGGCAGGACGCAAAGACGCGAGGGACCCGGCGGGCGGGAGGAGCCAGGCGGACCTGGACCCGCCACCCCTTCCTCGTCCAGGGGCGGAGACTGGTTGGTTACTCGCAGGAAGTGGGAACCTACAAGAGAGAACAAGTACTGGGAAAAGAGAAGCCCAGAGCAGGCCTGGAGCTATGGGCGCTGCTGGGAGACTATCTAACGGGCTCAGCGCAATCCGGCGAATCAAATTTTCTGGTGTGTCCACTTTGTCTTTACTTCTTTCTTCCCTGTCCCCTGCAACATAACTGTCCTCACGCGATAGGAAGACTGATCATTTTTCTCTCACCCCTTCTAATCTCCTTAATCCCTTCTTCTCTTCTAATTTCGTGCATTTAGTTGCTTAATTTGGACGTGAATTGTGACAGTAGGTAGAGAAATGGAAGATTTCAAAAACATTTGGGAAATATCTTTTTCCTGGCTGATCACACTGCATTCACACCATCAGGACAGGTGGGGTTTTTTCCTTAGACATATTAATTTTAAGGTTAAAGGTTGGTTGGCTGGTTGGTTTTCAAAAAACTATTTCTTTGCAAATTGTGGCATAGTGTTTGCAGAGTATAGGAAGACAATTCCCCAAATTTATATTGGTCATTCTCCACACAGAAGATCTGCCCCACAGGGGTGTGAGAAAACACAAATCTTAGAGAAAGGAAGGAGAATCAGAAGAACAAAACTACTTTTGCACAATGGGTGTGAAAAGTGAGTCAAATCTGGGCCTGAATTTACCCTGAAGCAGACTCTGTTTGTAATACCAGGCCTAGTGGAATGAGCCTCTCCAATCTCACAAACTCTCCAGTTTTCCACCCCAAAACTCATCAGTTCCCCACACCTACATCTTACTCAGGGCTTTGTTCTTTTCTAGAAATTTATTTTCTTTTTGTTGTCATTGAAACTATATACAACAGAACATACAGCAGTGCAACAATATCCTCATGCACAATTCCGTAATACTGATTGTCACTGTAAACCTTGAGTTTGTTTCTGCCTCTTATCTGTCTTGGATAAAGTACAGCCAAGGTTCTCCTCAGAGGCCATGACAGTGAATCTTTGTCTCGTATGTTTTGGGCTTGTTAGGAGGAGTCAGTCCTTGGAAAGGGACATCATGCTGAGAAAGGTGGAGGGTCATCAAAAGTGAAGAAGATCCCAGTGAAATGGATTTACATGCTGACTGTAACAATAGGTTCAAGTCTACCAGAGATGATGAGGATAGCACAGGATACGACAAGGTTCAGATCCATTGTCCACAGGGTTACTGTGAGTCATACTCCATTCAATGGCACCTAACAATCACAACATATCTGACCCTATATAACAAAGTACAGTCACCTCATGGGGTCTCCTAAGCTGTAATTTTTCCTATTTATGGGAAAGTTGGTAAATGAATAAGGAACACTGAAGAAGAGTCGATGCTTTGAAATTATGGTGTTGGTGAAGAGTATTGAAATACATTGTAGGTTGCTGTGAATTGTAGTTGACTCCATGGTACTTAAAAACCAGCAATAATCATTAGGGACACAGAAGCTGCAACAGCACCTCCTACATAGCAGTGATTGTGAGGACGGTAAAAGACTGGGCAGTATTTTGTTCACATTAGGTTATCCTGAGCTAAAACTGATCTGAGGGTGTTTCACAACACTCTCTGGTGGCTTTCTGGGAGCTCTGGTTGCTGTTGTTGTTGTCAGGTGCCGTCAATTTGAGTGTGACCCATAGCTACCCTATGAACAAAAGATCTGAACCCTTCTTGTGTAAGGAACTGAGCTGGCAACGGGAAGGCATACAGTTCAAATACATCAGCTGCTCTACAAGAGAAAGATGAGCAATCTCTTCCAGTGTGATTTACAACAACAATAATGATTTTTTTTTAATCTATTTTTATTATTGTGTGTGTGTACCGTCAAATCGGATCTGACTGGTACAGGAGGAGATTGTCCCTCCTTCGCCGGCAGAGCATCTGGTGGATTTGAACCCTGTGTCTCTGGGATTGCAGTGTAGCTTCTTACCACTAGGCCACCAGAGCTCCCCTAACAATAATGATTTTTATAGAATCAAGTTGCCACATCTTTTTCCCTGGTAGAGGCTGAACTTGGACAAACAACTTTCTTTACAATGGTTAATAGAAGATTAATTCCTAAAATGTAGAGGTGAACAATGTTCCAAATGTCCATATAGTTGCACAACTCCATGATCTCTGATATTAATTATTCCTTCTCCCTTCATCCTTCTCACTCCTGGCTATGTCTTTGGGTTCTGTGATCCACTGGAAAGTCTTACCGATCCAGAAACCATCAGGCTCATGTGATTGTGGACAATGTAGGCCAATGGATGTGGTCACAGAGCCTAGTGAATGACCATAAACCATATCTTCAGAACTAAAGGTGGTGACTTGCGTAATACTTTCCAATTGTTGTTATGTGCTGTCAGGTCAACCACAACTCACAGCATAAACCTTACCCTATTTTGAGCCAGCCTCACCATCTCTGTCACATCTGACCCCATTGCCACTGTGTCAGTTCATCTCACCTAGGGTCTTCTTCTCCTGTGCTGACCTTCTATCCTTTCAAGCATGATGTCCTTCTCCAAGAACTGGTTTCTTCTGACAACAGGGCCAAAGCATGTGAGACAAAGCTTCAAAATTCTTACTTCCAAAGAGCAACCTGGTTTCACCCTCTCCAGTTCAGATCTATTTGTTCCCTTAGAAGTCTGTAGTATGTTCTATACCCTAACACTATAATTCAAAGGGATTGATTAATTCTTGTTCTGTCATCTTCAGTCATTGTTTAGGTCTCAGAAACATAGATGTAGTGCCTTCTAGTAAGGTAGGCTTGTATCCCACCAACCATCTGCTCCACAGGAGAAGGATGGGCAATCCATATTATTCACTGCTTCTGAAAACCCACTGGAGGGTCAGCTATGAGTCGATTCAATGTCACAGAACACAATCACAACCACACAATCCTATTTCAGTAATACAACAAATAATTTATCCTTGAATGAGGTCTTCAGCATAGGCAAAAAACCTAGAACCACAAAACGAAAAGTTAAGAGTGGCAGCTAAATCAGGATACAATTTTTCAATCCAGACAGTTTATCAAGTATGTTCACTGCTCTTTGAGCTTCAATCTCATGGTTTAGGTTAGTTACAAAATTCTCTTAGTCTTATCAATTATGTTAAGTCCCTTGGCTCTGGCTCCATGGGTCAACAGTTCCAAGTTCATTCTGTATCATGTTGGCCTCTGATTTTCTGCTGAAGCTACTGCTATTATCATATATATCCCATTCTTAACTTGCTCAGGAATCTCCAAAACCCAAGGACAAATGCTACACTCTTTACTTTCTCTTCCTTGCTAGTAGTGAGATTCCCACCTTCATTGCTAAATTTACTCAATTTAACTTGTTGGGAAGGGATAAATGGGTCACGGTCACAATGATTACTTTATATAAAGCCTATCAAATTTGGCTTAAGAAAATTAAAACAAAGCCACAAGAACCAAAATATGACTTTGAGTCTATTTCATCTAAATTTAAAAACCATCTCCAGAAAAGGTATGAGGCATTATTTAATAATAATAACCAAAGACCAAATAAGTTATATGATGACATCATCCATGAAAAGAGGAAGAAGAAGAAGAAGGAGGAGGAGGAGGAGAAGAAGAAGAAGGAAAAGAAAAGGAAGGAAGGAACGAACGAACGAACTAAGGGGAAGGGGAGGAGAAAGAAGAGGAGGTGGAGGAGAAAGAGAAAGAAGACGAGAAGGAGAAGAAGAAAAGATAAAAATGGGTGTTAGAAGAGACTCTGAAAATTGTACTATAGCATCAAGAAACCAAAATAAAGAGAGATGAAGAGATTTCAAAGGACACCTCCATAACACAAAGCAAAGTATAACAATGCAGAGACTTGGAATTTGAGAATAAAAAGAGAAGAATTCATTCATCATTTCTAAAGTTGAAAGAACTGAAAAACAAATTCAAGCCTCAAATAGCAATCTTTCTACAGAAAAAAGGAGAAGCTTGAATGATCCAGGAAGCATCAAAAGAAGATGGAAATAATACACAGAGTCAGTCACTATACCACACACACACAAAAAAAATATTTTTAAATGGCCAACACTGAAATAGTTCAGGAAGTACCATATTAAAAAAGATCCAATGGTAATAAAGGAATAAGTTCGAACTGTACTGAAGGCACTGACAAAAAATAAGGCCCCAGGAAGTGATGGAGTACAAGTTGACACATTTCACCTAACTAATGCAATCCTGAATATGCTCACTAGTCTATGCTAGGAAATTTCGAGGGCAGCTGCTTGGCCAACTCACTGGAAGAGATTCATATTTGTTCCCATTCCGGAGAAAGGTGATGAAACAAAATTCGTAAATTATAAAACAATATCATTAATATCACACGCAGGCAAAATATTGCTGAAGATCATCCAAAATTGGCTAGAAGAGTACATTGGTCAAGAAGTGCCAGAAGTTTAAGCAAAGTTTAGAAAGGCTGTGGCACCAGGGAAATCACTGCTCATAGCAGATGAATCCTAGTTGAAAGTGAAGAATACCAGAAGAATGTGTATTTGTGTTTTATTAACTATGCAGAGACATTTTACTGTGTGGATCATAACAAACTATGGTTAACTTTGAGTAGAACATGAACCCTCAAGCACTTACTCATGCTTATGTAGAAACCTATACATAGAACAAGAAGGTGATGCCCAAACAAAGCAAGAGACTACTTGATTGTTTAAAATGAAAAATAGGTGTGCATCAGAGTTGTATCCTTTCTCCATACACATTCAATCTGTATGCTGAGCAAATAATTCAAGAAACTGGGCTCTACAAAGAGGAAGGTGGCATCAGATTAGAGGAAGACTCATCAACAACCTGCACTGTGCAGATGTCAAAGCCTTGCTTGTTGA